GGGGGGGGGGGGGAACAGAAGGCAGCCATCTAGGGCAGAAACACTATAGGAAGAAAAGAAGAGGAGAGATTCCTGTTGAGTGCTGACTGCAAAGAGCAGTGTCACTCCACCAGGGCCAGCCAAAGCCCTGGGCAAGAGTGGAGCTGTGAGAGCAGGTAAAGCCACTAAACAAGTGCTGTCCCAGAGAGGACAGACTCTGGTTGACATCATGTTATAGCCCTTTCAGCTTTGCAGAGTATTATCTTATTCACTATTTCAGGTCATCTTCACAATAATCTAGAAAGGTCTATAAAGGAAATAGTATTTACATTTAATAGATGAGGTAACTGAGGCTCAGAGAAGGGAATGACTTACTTGATGCTCCTCTGTTGCCTGGTGGCCAAGCAGAATTTCAATCTTCCAGAACAGACTCCAAGGCTGGGAGGCAGTCTCCCAGGTTGGGATAAACTGATGAGTTTATTGAAAGGTTCAAATTCACAGACACAGAGAAAAGAAATTGATCTAATATTAAGATGAAAAGGCCCCTGTCCCAGTATATCTTTTTCCTTTGGGTAAAAGAAAAAGGAGCAGAGAAAACACCAGCACATACCCTGGTCATCTAGTGTAATCCCAAATGCAAACTATTTTTAAAAAGTCCTAGATACCATCTGTGGAGTTAGGGAAAAGGTCATCTCAAATAGCTGTGGGTCAGGAATTGAACAGCCAGCCAACAGTGAGCGAAAGACTCATCCAGGGCCAAGAAAGTGCACCAAGAGGACAAGAAGAGTCTGAAGGAGTATGTGAAGAAAACATAAGACCCAGGTTTTCACCAAAGATGAGGCACACCAAGGACGTAGCAGAGGGTCTGGCATAGAGTTAATGACTAATAAATGTTAGCTGCTAGTAGTAGTAGCAGTCATACAGCGGTACTAGTAATAGAAAGCTAGGTCTTTCCTCAAAGCCAGTCTCCAGGTTATAGCCAAAAAAACCCCAAACTCAGTTCATTGTAATCTAAACTGCTACTTGATGGTGAGGGCAAACTCTGTCCTCAACCCCTTATTGGCACCATCTTCAACAGTTGCCGTGCTCTATTCTGTTAACAGGTAGCCTATCTCACTCCAGAAGAGGTAGCTAGATTAGAGGAATATGGATGGGGGTGCTGGGAGAGCCTGTCTGTGTACTTTGGCCTAAACCCATGTGCAGGAAGCACGTGGATGGACTGTCTCCAGCCCTGAAGAACTTCCTTCTACCACCATCCCCACTCTACTCCGCCTTAGTCTCCTGAAGCCAACAGAAGGCCATAGGTAACCACCAAGACAAAGTCACCAGCCCACCTGTCATCTCCCACAGGCCATCTTGCCTTCCTTCAATCCTTACACATATCCAGCCCACAGACCCCAAAGCCTGGCAAACTGGCTTAAAAAGGGGCAGCATTAGGAAGAAACTGAGGAGGGGCAAAGCTTCATGGCTCCATTTTCCACCCTCCGCTCCCACACACTTAAGCCTCTACTCCCTGCTAGTCTTTCCTTCCCTCTTTCCTAGGATTGCCAGAATGATTTGTTCGTAACAGCGACAGGTTTATAGGTTAGCCGACACCTCCGCTCTGTGGAATTTTAATTAACTTCTCCCATCGTCAATATGCTAAGGAACGGGGTCTCCATTCTCTGGGGTCAGCAATGTGTTTCAGGTCCTGCTATATCAGCCGTCAAATTGAAGAATTAATGACGTGGCTAATCGGCTCTAATTCTTTAGGAAGAAAAAATTTGAAAGGGAGTTGTGGGAGGGGGCAGGAGAAGGGGAGCAAGCTCCATGGGGTGAAGAGAAAAAAGGGAAGGGAGCTGAGCAAAGGGGGGAATTGACTCTCTCATAAAACAAGTGACTGACTTAAACCCAGTGTTGGACGGTGGCAGCCCTATAGCTTTCCTATTGGTCATCTGGATGGGGAGTGAGGGGTAAAGGGAGTGGGGAAGACCCTAGGTAAACATTGTGACAAAGCATGTGCAGGAGAGGGCATCAATGAACCCTGCTGGGGAGGAGAGAGGCTCTTCCTTAGTCCAAGAGAGCCTAGAAAGCAGAAGCCTGGTTACAAAGCTCACTCATTCATAGGTAAAGCTAGAGAAATACCAGTCAGGTCAAAGGGTATAGAGTAAGGCCACCATCAAAAATCTGGCTCTTCTACTACAATGGTCAATGATTCTACTCTACATACATGTCTTTGGGTGAGAGCCCAATGGCACACAGGCCCCAAGCCTCTAATGATGACTCAACGCTGTAAGGGATACTCCAGAAGATATTTTCCAAGGGGAACAAACCACTGATGTCAGTTGTGAGAGTGGTTTGGCTGGTGCTGTCACCTCCCAGGGATGCTGAGGGGCCTGTGCTTTAGTAACAACCTGAAAGGGCATCTGTTCCAGAAGGGACACTCTTGTAACAGCTGAACTCAGCTGTTAACATTCTAACATAATATCTTTTCCTTCACATTGCTGGGCTAGATACTTAGGAAGTTGGCTTCTAGAAGGTTATCTCAACCCCGTGCATAAATGAAGTAAGAGCTAATACAGCTTCAGATCTCAAGTCTCTGGAGGATCTCCAAAATCTCCAAGAGAGCAGCTCAAAACAACCTAGAATATACAGGCAGAGAATTATCTAGCCTACCTGGCATTATAAAATAAAAGCGTTATTATACGGGACAAAACCATATCCAAAAACATCTCCCTTACCTGAGTAATGGGCTGATAGCAATGGACCAGACTCGGTCTTCAGTCTGGATGGTGTGTAAGCACTGCCCAAGCCGGCCTGAGGCCAAAGACCATACCTGGAAACAGGAGAGAAGATGCTCTCGTTGGCATTGCCTGGGATGGGAACGGGGGTGAAGGAAAGATGCACCAGGTGGGGTGACTGTCTCTGGGCAGGGGGATGAGGGATGGGAATACAGAATCCTCTCTGTCCTGTATACACAGAGTGCAGGGTATCAGCAGAGGGGCCTCTCCAGCTTCTGGAAAGCCTACCACCCAAAGAGACCCTGGCTACCAGTCCTAACCAACCTCTTACTTCCACCCGATAGCTCTTACTTCCCAGCCAATTGTATACCAGGGAATCAGAAGTTCCACATTCCTCAACTGAGACTTGACTGAGACAAGTGAGTAGATGGGGCTTGCCTCTCTTAGCAACCTCCCCATGTTTGTGGATTTTCCTTTCTTCTATCTCTCACCAAGATTTTACTTTGGGGAGGTAAGAAGAGGGAGGAAGATCAAGGCACAGTATAAGAGGACAGAGATAGAATTAGAGTAGAACTAGAGAGAGAAGTAAAAAGAAAGATGCAAGGGAAGGAAAGAATGGAAGAAGAAGAGAGACTTCAAAGTAGGAAGGTACGGTGTTGTTGTTTGTTTGTTGATAATGCCCAGGATCCAATGCTATTCATGTCAGCACGGAATTTAGCACCTAGTATCACCAAAAGTAGCAGAAAAGCTTAACTCTTTTAAGCTTCCATATCTCCTACAGGTTAAAAATATTGCTTGGAGCACATTATCTGGTCCCTATCAGTCAGGAATGTACATTAGCAGCCACTCTGGGCTTAACTCTAATCAACACTCACAGAGCCCTCTCAGCAGTCAGTGCATTTAGAAATCTCCCATTAAGCACAAGGCCCCCCTACCTCACCCTACCCCAGATGACACACACAGGGAAATAAGCCTCTAACTAAACAGAAAGGAAACCTCAAATACACAGGGCTGTCCCCAGACAGCAGCCAAGAAGGGATCCTGAGGCGGCCAGATGGATCAATGACCTCTCAAGGTCCCTGCAGTGCTATAAGGGGAACACACAAGTCAGTTAGGACCTTAGATGGAAGAACTTTCAGGAAACATTCCTTGAGTTTAAGGGGTAGGTATTGGAGTGGGGGTGGTCCTGCCTCCTTAGGGTCACATGATATCTCCTCCCTATAAAAAGAGAAAGTGTTTTAGATTTTGTATGCATGATGTGGGGAAGAGGATATGAATTACTTTTCTCAACCTAGGGAAAAGAAAATAAATTTAACAGGAAGATCCTGAATGAGGAGGGGCAGAAAACAAAGGTAAATAGTGCCATGACTCCTGCTTACTCTTCTGGATCTGTAGTCAAGCCACTTTGGTAGTAACTAGATGCACTTCTAATGTCCTCTTTTAGACGGCTCCAGATTGAAAGAGGTTTGCCTTTTCCCTGATGCAAACTCCCTAGAAGGCATGTTCTTGTATGGATGGCGGGAAGACACAAAGGACTCTGATTACAAAAATTTATGGGGACAGTCTAGGCCTAAATTCACCAGTGCTCTCCAGAGAACAGGCTGGTGGATTCCTAGATTGTGCAAACCACAGAACAAGATTCCTGGTCTCCAGAAATGGCTAAGGAAGCATGCTGCCAATTCTGAGCATCATCTTGGGAACGTGGCCCTCCTGAGCTGCCCCAGCAGCACACCATCCACCAGAAACATGAGTATGCTGATCACATCTTCACCCTCAGCAGCCAAATCCAAAAAAGATCCATCCCCTGGACAAGATATAACTCAGTGGGAGTGGACATTGATACAGTCCTTTTAAAAAGCAGTTAGCTGTATGTATTAAAACCCTTAAAATGACCAAAGCCTTTGACTCAGTAGCTCTATTGCTGAGACCCTATCCTAAGAAAATAATCCTAAAACGAAGAAAAATCTAAATGATTAAACTATTCCCTGCAGCCTGCAGTAGCAGAAAGGGCATGCATGGGCTTTGAAATCAGACAAATCTGGGTTGAATCCTAGTTGTTACTTATTATACCTGATCTTACTGATGTTTCGTAACTTCTTAGTCTCAGTTTCCTCATGTGTAAAATAGGAAATAATGCCGACTTTCAGGGTTGCAGTGTGGAAAAGTGAAGATATGTATACATTATCCTGCACAGTACCACAGTATTTGGTAAGTATTAGACATCAATAATAGTGGTTCTTAATACTCTAGGAAAATAACTAGATACAAACATCTACCAATAGGAAAAAGGGATTAAATTATGGTAAGTCCATTATGAAGTCATTAAAGACAACACTAACAGGTAATTTGTAATAATAATGGAAAATCTTATAAAATAAACTAGATACAGCAGTGTACACTGGGAATCTACAATATATTATACGCATAATTATGTAGCAGAAATTACCCTTAAAGATAAAATGAGAAAATAAATGTACAGTGCTTAGCACAGTGCCTAGTTATATTCTATGTTGTTACACATCAAATAAGCAAATGTATGCATTGAAAAAATAACCAAAAGAAAAAAAAACAAGTTCAAATGTTCCCTCTTCATAAAGTCTCCCCTTCCAAGCCAGATAAGATCCCTCTACCCTCTGAACTTTCTGGCCCTTTCCCTAGAGCCTTACACCCAGTCTTTGGCCACTTCTGATCACCTCCGTAGTACACAAATGTCTCAGCTACCCGTAAGAGAGAGGCTGTATCTTCCTCCCTTTGGAAGAGCCCCAATACCTTGTATAGACACCTATCAGAATGAATGAAAAAGTAGAGAAAAAGGAAGACATGAAGGGATAGTCAATGCCAGCCCAGGCCCCCCAAGAACATAAGCCACCATCATGTCACATCTGAGGATGGGGCCAGCCCCACTAAAGCCCAAAGAAGCAACCCAAGCTAAGTCACAGTAAGTTTGAAACTGGGGTTGGAGGAAGGGAAGGAAGAGGGTTTTCTGGGCAGTCCCTTCCTCAGCAGTCTTACAAAGAAAATGTTTTAGTTTCCTTCACCCCAGTAAAACAAACCTCTTTCCTAAGATACAGTACATATTTGGAGAACTCCCTCAAAACAAGCTATAGATGTTTACAGGCAAAGATGATAGTTCTTATGTAGGTTCAGATGTATTAGAAGTCTGAAGAAGCATCTGTACAATTGCAAATGCCACCAAAAGAAAATGGAGAGCCAGTTATAAAAGACTAACTGTAGGTAATGTAGAAATGGGCCAGGAAGACGAAGGTGGAGAAATGCAAAGACAGCAACAGAAAGGAAGAAACTGAAGTAGCATTCCAGAAAGCCAGAAAAGATAAGCTAGTCTGGAGGTCACTGGGGAGCCCCAAACAGTTGCCTAGCTTTCTGAAGTTGAAGAACCAGGAGGGAGAACTCTGTCACTGGCCTAAAAGAAATCCTCAAAAGGAACAGGATATATTGCAGTGACAATTTTAGAATTAAATATTACCTATTTCAATACTTTTTAAAAAACTAAGTCACTAAATTAGGGCTGAGTTGGTACTTAAAACATGAAACTAATCCAATATCCCAGATAAAATCGCTATCATTCCCTGACTATAAGCAGTCCATACCCCTGAATTGCCACCTGTGGTCACAAAGCTTAGTTTTATACTGGCTCAGGGTATCAGAGCAGAGAATAGGATAGAAGAAAGAGATGTCACTGAAAGAGAAGAGCCAGGGGAAGCTTGAAGCTATGACAGGCCATGATGAGATGGGATGATCTAGGTCACACCTGCCACAAAAGGTTTCTAAGCAAATTGACTTCTGAGCAGTACAGCAACTTAAGGCCAGTCTCTTTGCAAGGAGACAAAGACAGTGAACAATCAGAAATCTGAAGTATAGGGTGGAGGAATGGGAAATTCAGTTTCCATATTGGCTGAAAAGATTTTTTGGATTTTTCAGGCTCCCTGTGCTGGTGCGCATGTCTCTGACGGAATACAAAGTGTGAGGAAGAAAACAGCAAAGGGAGGAGAAATTTCCACAAATAGAAAATAACATATTTAGTTCTTCCTTTTATATAAATTAGCAACATTTTTCCATGAAGGAGTAGTCACCAGAGGGTACACAGAGTTAGTGAGTAAAGACTGAAACTTCCCTCCTGAGTCCTCTCTCCTCACGTGTCTTAAGAGGCCTGTTTGCTGACACAAGCAAGCATTTTGCTCCTTCCTGTTAGCACTACAAAGTCTCCAGATGCTGGGAAACAGACAGGCAAGATACTATCAGGCCTCCTGCACCATCAACTGAATTGTCAGCAAAGTTCCCACGGCAGCCCCAAAGGACCAGGCATGTGTGGGCGCTGCCTAGGGCTGCTGGACACAGGAATGGAGAAAGTTCTCTATCTCATGGGTGGGAGCCTATTTGACCCAAACGTGGATGAGCCGAGTCCACGAAGCAGAGGTCACATGACTTATCAGTCCCATTCTGTTAGGTCCTGGCAGATGTCTGAATGTAGACCAGGCAATTTGGCAATGACACAACAAGTAACACCCTTCTCTTGTCATCTTTCTATTGACCTCATCACTCTCCAGAGAAGCAGTAAAAACACATTTTAATTATCAGCTTGATTGCTTATAAACCAGGTGGTGAAAAATTAACCTTCCTAAACAGAGAGAAAGTAAAAAGAGGGAGATTTTAAAATAAAATATTGGGGTCAGAACTCAACCCACAAACTTGAGGAAATTCAGCTCAGGGAGGAAAAGCTGGCCGGGCCCTCTGTTTTTGAGTTCATGCCACATTTCAAGTGAGTGGCAAGCTTCCCAGCCACTGTCCACTCCTTTTCCAGGCCAGCTGGCAACGATACAACCTGGCATGGTGAGTTGCATGCCAGAGGCACATAAGTGAGTCCTTTATTGTGTTGTTTCCCCCACCTCCACCCAATGTTCTCAGCCAATCCAGAGTCTCAGGCCCTATCCACCCTCTCCCACCCTACTCCCTATAGACAGAGGGAATAACAGTATGTAAGGGAGTGACCATCTCACCTTGGCCGTCCTGTCCCTGGAGCCACTCACGATGATGCCCCCTTTGCAATCCACACAGTTCACCTCCTGATCATGAGCCGAGTACTTGACAGTGAAGGTACTATGAATCTTATGAACACCAATCTTTCCATCTCTAGGAGAGAAACAAGGAGCCCACCCAAGAGCCAATTATTCTCTCTGTAAGAACAAGTCTACAGAAACAGCCCAAGACTTCAGTGATGTCCAAATTTGCTAAGCTTTAGGCAATTCAGTCCAATAAGGTTCTGAGCTCCTAGATACCTTTACTTCTCCAGTACTCTTGAGGCTGAACAGAGCTGAGAGACAAAACAAATTTCCCCCTTGAGAGTATCAAGATCAGCTTCACTTTCCATGAAAGGCTCTTCCTGTTTTCCTTCCCCAGCTAACCCTATTAAGTAAATCTCTGCTTTAAATGGGGACAAAAACTCACTACTCCTTCTTCTAGTCGCTCTCCTCATCCCTTTGGAGCTAAGACAGAAAAGTCAGAGACAGGCAGATGGCCCCTGAAAAATCCTGAGGCTGGAAGGAGAAACCTGTAGCACTTACCCTCCTGCACTGATAATATGTGAGTTGGCCAACACAAAGTGGCAAACATCCTCATCATGCCCAGCAAAGACTCCCAGGGGCCGACGGTTCAAGCTGGCACCATCTGGACGGAACTGATAGGCCAGGATGAAATTAGCCTGGGATATATACAGAGAATCACCCTCTAGCTGCATCCAGGGCATCTGACTAGAGAGATGAAAAACAAAGTTTAAGGATCATCAAGATACAGAATGAAAACCTAACTCCAGTCTTTGGAGAGTCTGACCCATCCCCAACTTAGCAAGGATGACCTGCAAGGCTAAGTCTATACCTCGCTCTCCCCTTCTTCAAAATTACCTTAGGCAACCCTCAGAAAACTAGAGTGATTGAGCTTTGTGGTAACCTAATAATCTTTGAACTATCTAAAAGAGAGTGAGAATTAAAAGGCCAATTAAATACCACTTTTAATTGGAGAATGCTTAAGACTTAAATTACTGGGTAGGCAGAGCTTAGAAAATGCAATGGTTGAAGGGTGAGGAGGGCAAAAAGAAACCTTCCACCCTGATGAAGTAATTTTTTTTTCATTCTGTATCCTCACTGATTTGAAGTGTAAGTGCTAAGTTGCAAGATTCTAAGACTCCCATACATGCCTCTTTCCCAATAGATCGGTTAGGGTATGACAGAGAAAGGAGAAGAGTGATTCCAGGGAAGCTCTATTCCCTTGTCCTACTAGAGCAAAGGGGCCATTTATAAGTGAAAGGAATAAAGCCACTTAGGAAAGGATGCTAGTAATGTGCTGATTAGATACCTAGATCCTCACAGGGGATATCTACATTTCTGTACAAGAGGGTACAGGGTAAGAGCAGCAATGGAAAAACACAGTCCCTAGGGTAATTTACTATAGTTCAGGGGCTACAAAGAAATAGCTCTGGTAGGCAGCTGATAAAAGAAATTCACACATAGTTAAAGATTCCCTCTACAATCTGGATGGAAGAAGAAAGGTAGAAGCCACGGAGCAGTCCCATGGCATGGAGTGAGATTTAAGAAGAAAGAAGACTGTGCCAGACACCAGCTCTCTGTGAGGACTAAGCCCCTTTCCCAAGGTAGACATCCCAGCAGCCTGTCCTACTCTATGTAGGGATTCTAGAGCTACCAGGTCCCAAGCAAAGCATAGGGACAGCTGATTCATCCCCATTTACAGAGACACCATCTCTCACTGCCAAGCCTGTCTGAGCAAACTGGGCTGTGTTTCTTCCCCAGACTCCTTAATACAAGCGTCATGGGAATGTGGAAAAGTTCTGCAAATTGACTTGACGGGCCATTAAATGCAGCTTGGACTTTGTAGTAACTGAGTTTCTGCTCATGAGATTTTTACAAGTGTGTGCATATATTATATGGAACATGCGTACAGTGTGTATAGATGCCTGCATTCTCACTCATTATGCACATTCCTCTTCAACATCCCCTTTAACAAATTTGTGGCACACTCAAGCAGGCAGCAAGCAGAGGGGTTTGAAATTCATGTTAAGAGCCATCTGGTAAACAGCCATTGCCTAGGACAAGAAACCAGGTTCATGCCAGGTGAACAGTGGAGGATCCCAGGGCAGCCTGGTAACTGTTTTGTGTGTTTATTTGCCAAACTGCTTTAAACCAGCCAAAAAAATAGTAAAAATAAAAACACTAGGGACAAAACCTTGATAGAGAAATAAACTCTACTTTCCGGTATTAAAAGACAAAAGTTGTAAGCAAAGGGTAAAGTCCTTCATCATAAAAACCCACATTTCTCCCCTGCAGTTTCTTTACCATCTCACTACCACATTAATTCACAGCAACCGATGTCAATAATACCAGCAGAAACTGGACACAAGCAAGAGAGAAAGGGTCATCCGATGAAGAAGACTGCCTATATCTATCAGCACAGGTACAGGTCCACCTTGAATGAGCAATCATGATATTCCCTATCCATTCCAACCAATCAACAATGAGCACCTTTTTGGTACGGAGTCATATAATAACTCTGAAACAATTTAGCATTGATAAAGCATTAAATCTGTGGCACTGGCAGTGCAAAAGCCATTATCTAAATTTCCTGGCACTATTTCTAAGCTCTGCCTCCTGTAGCATATATATTCAAACCTTTAGATTCTATTTTGCTTTTTAATAAAGTAGGAGAGATACCTATAGGAAGCCAGGATGAAGATGTAACTCCCTAGAGTAGAAGATTTAAAGAAAAATAATTGTAAAACAAGATGTGTTGAAATATTTGCTTCATTTATTTCTTTTGATGAGATATATTAATAGTGGTTACCTCTGAGCGGTAGGATTATAAGTTTTCTTTTCTTCTTTAATTTTCAATTTTTTCAAATTTCTACATTTATTTTTATAATAAAAATATGGAATTCATTAAAATATAGTTCTGTAATCCTTTTGATAAATGTGGGGGGAAAACTGTCCCTCTGATGCCCCCCTTTGTGGTATTTAAAGGATCACCAGGGCCATACCACCCAAGACAGGCTATTCACACTCTAGCTAGGAGCAGATTTTTCACTTCTCAGCATGCTTTTCTGTCCCTGGTAACTTTACCAGTCAAGAGGCTACTTACCTGCATCTCCACTTCAACAGAATCCCCTCTCGGCAGCGCCCCAACCTCCAGTTTTGAGACACCTTCACTCGTTCCTTCACTGGTATATTGGCCATCCTGTGTCCAGACAGAACAGATAATCCAGTCACTACAACTCATTGCCAACCAGAGAAAATCCCATGGGCTTACAAGTCAGGACTCAGGAACATCCAGAATATATCTGGATATAAGTAAAGGGGCTGGGAGACAAGAAAGGAGTAACTTCTTTCTCCATGCTAAGATAACTAAGAAATCCAAGGAGAATAGCCTTTCCTTTAAAGGGTCTATAGTGATGCTAAAGTGATTTAATAAAGAAAGGATGACAGACAGTGCTGGAACCACAGGCTATCCATAAAGAAAAAATGAACTCTGACCCCTACCTCTCACCATAGAGAAAAATTAATTCAAAATAGACCACAGACCTAAACATAAAATCTGTTGATAAAATTGGATATCAATAGAGCAAAAAACTGATTTAGATTATCATCTCATATCACAATAAACTCCCCAAAAATAAAAGAGTGAATTTAAAATAGCTTTTTAACTAAAAGAGTTTAAAGTATTTAAATTTTAAATATTACATAGAAGAAAAAAGAGATTACAATGAAAGCAACAGAGTGGGGGAAATTGAGTTAATACCATAGGTACAAGAAGTTTTATACTTAAAAGCTTTAGGGGACTGTAAAAAATCTATCAGAGTAACACCCTGTGTCCAGTACCCTGTCATCCATATCCAACAGCAGATAAGAACAGTCACACAATGTTGACATGATAAAACACTGGGGAAATGTCCCATAACAATAATGGTTCACAGACATGCACATTAAAACAATTATTAAGAATAATTAATAAAATTATTAAACAATTATTAAAGTACCACCTCACATCTATTAAGTGGAAAACCACACTAGCTTTGGTTTGATAGAAGGGTTTGGGTTTGGCTATACATTGCTAGGAGCATGCTGGTACAGCCTTTCAGAGAGGAATTCTGTTGAGAAAAGTTGTTAAATGACAGCTTCTGACCCAGTATTCCCACTCTGGGCACTGCATTACAAAGACATAATTCAAAAGAAATATATATATATTTTACAAAGATATTTATAGTTGCAGTTATATATTAGAGCTAAAATCTGGAAATAGCCCAAATGTTTGTCTGTGGGGGAGAATGGTATACTAATGCAATGGAATATACTGCCACTAGAAATGATAAATGTGAGGACTGCAAAATATTTTAGAAATGACTATAGCAAGGAATGGTAATCTCAAAACTAAGTCAAATTTATAAAGTAGAACCCTGGCTGATTTGGCTCAGTGGTTAGAGCATCAGCCTGCAGACTGAAGAGTCCTAGGTTGAATTCCAGCCAAGGGCAAGTACCCTGGTTGCAGGCTCAATCCCCAGCCCTGGTCTGGGCGAGTGGCGAGGGCGACCAATCGATGTCTCTCTCTCTCTCTCTTTCACTCTCTCTGAAAAGCAATGAAAAAATATCCTCAGGTGAGGATTAAAAAAAAAAAAATTTATAAAGTAGAGTTGAAGAGACACTACATAAAATTATATCTCCATATATAACAGGTCAGAAGAGGTAAATAAATGGTACTTTAGGAAGTGAGCAATTTTTAAAAATATATCACATAGTTATTGAGAGTTATGTCTTACAATTTACCTTTAAATAGTAGATTAAATGCAGTTGTGGGAAAAGCACAAAATGCAGACTTAGGAAACTAGGGTCCAAACCTGGTTATCTAACTTCTCTAATTGTCAATTTCTTCACCTATGAAATAATAGTATTTCACACAATTATGGTGTTTTCAAGATGACAACTAAAACAAAGAATACTATAAGTTATAAATCACTACAAAATAGTTATTTTTACATAAATATAAATATATGTAGTGATTAATATCCATTAATGGTGTCATCCCTAAAGTTAATTCAATAATCATTTGCTTTTCTTCTAATTCAATTATAACTATTAGAAATTTTTCTTCTAATGTCAAACTTAGTCCTCTTTCAGGCTGAATAATTACGATTTGGGTGTACAGATGTTAAAACTAAAATATATTACTGAATTTGTCCACTGGGTGAATATGGTCCTTGGTTTCACATTACTAATAAGCATCCTCTACTACCAGTTAGATAGAGAACTGAAAACAGTAAAAGACAGTCAAAAGGATGGACCAAAAGAACTGAACTCTTAATGAAAAAGATTAGAATCCCCATCAAATCTTATTTGCATATCCCTCCCAGATATAAAAGAGACCTTTTGTAGCTAACCTCTCCTCTTCAGTTAGGTCTAAGTTCAAAGGTGGAGGTGAAACCCAAATTGAACGTTCTGGATCATAACAGGAAGGAACAAGGGGGAAAGAATCAGTATATTTCCTGAACTGGGATAAGGACAACACTTCTCTCATCTTCCTGGTCACTTAACTGCAATTTGGTGACACTTTACTAAGGGTCAAAGCACTGCCCTGAGGGCCTGATCACAGCAGCAAGAAACTTTCAAAGTTGAACTTTAGAAGCTGCTACCAAACAGCAGGTGCAGGCTTCCTCTCCCACAATGAACACCATAATCAAAATACTGGCTCTGGTCCTTCAAATAAAATTTCAACTTTTTTAAACCATTCCATTTGGCTTTCAGTTGAGAAATAATACCACTTTGTTAGGAGCAATTTAACAACTAGTCTTTTTCATCCCTTTTTCTCCCGTTCAGTCATCTCTGATGGTTTCCTAGCTGATGGACAAACTGTATTCATGTTCTTATTGGCTTCAGCACCTGAAAACACAGAAGGAATAAAAAAATCTTCTTTCTCTGAAAACAGGTATCCCTCCTTCCCTGTGGGGACCTGTCACGGTCCAGTCAAAGGGGGTCAGTAAAACAAGGCAGCAGAAGTGCCTGAGAAGGCAGGAGCAGGTGCCCCTGAGAATTCAATAAGGACCCTTGTTCCCATTCTTGAAATGCTCTCTGGTTAGCTGTTTCTCCAACACAGTTATTGGTGTAAAGTGGGGGGTACTCCCTCCAAAAATGATTGCTGCCCTGTAAACAAACCTCTTGTATGGCTGTTAATGCAGAGAAATCTCTAACCTGGCCTGTGGGCCTACTGGAACTTCCATTTTCCCAGCCCTCCTTCTCTTGCCTCAGGCTCATTTTTCCACTTGGGCCCCCCTCCTTCTCAGCTTTCCGGCACTTAGTCACCATTATAGTTTGACTGCATTCCTGGGCACATGACCTATTTTAAACAAAAACAACACAACATGCACCCACAGTAAGCTATTGGGTCCCTTAAAATCTTGGCAACAAGTGAGTCCAGAGGGACAGAAATTAATCTAGGCAGTTATCTAGAGTCCCCTTTCATTTCACCCCTCCTCACTCATACCCCAAACCAAAAGCAAAAAAATAAACCTAGTCTGAAGAAAAATGGCTGGGGGAGGGGATAAAGGAAGGGAAAGTGTGGATATATCATAGTGGTCTTAAACTTGCACAGTCCCTAAAATCAGAAAACTCCCGGATCACAAATCAATTTCCCTCCCTGCTCTATCTTAAAGTTTGATTCCGCTTGATGCCACCCAAGCTGCCTACCTGAGTGACTGGCATGATTACCATAAACATAACTTTCTGCTGACTTGTAAATTCAGAAAAGAAGGTATCTGTCCACAAGTGATGAACAAGACCATCTCACAGGTCACTTGGCTAAGGAGGGGGAACAGGACTGTGCAAAACGCTTGGGGGCTTGGAATTTTAAATTAATTGTCTCTTGATTTCTTTGATCTTCTTGCTCTCCAGAAAGCAGATTTCCCCCCATATTGCCTGTACCCACCAGCTCTTCTACTAAAACTAAGAATTTGGATTTAAATACAAGTATTTAAACAGCCTAAGACAAGAAACTTCTAACTCTTCGTTTATATTTGGCATTAGGCTAAATCCTCCAATGGCCCTCAGAGCAGAGGTCCATAATTAAGGTTAGAAACAAAATCAATGGAAAATCATTATCTTGTGTTAAACTGCTTACTCTTTCGGTCAGAGAACAGGGAATAAGCCAAACATGCAGGGTGAAGTGAGACTATAGGGAACATGCCAGCATGAGGACAGAATCATGCACAAGGAGACCATGGAGCAGACCCATGTCTCCCGTGAACGGCCTAAATACGACAACTCACCTTACTCATTCAACCTCACCTTCCATGGCTCCACACTACGCAAGTGAATTCTAGCCAAGCCCATCTCTTCTACATTTATAACTATACCCATTCCTTCTCCTATGCTGCCAGCACCAGCCTACCTTTTTCCTTGACAAACGCCTCCTTCCCTCTTCTGGGCATTAGTCAAATTCACCCATTCCTCAAGATCCAGCTTAAGCCTCTACTTCCCTGACCCCTCCAACCATTCCTGTCTCTCTCATGTGAACCCATAGACTGAACTTATCATAAACCTAGGCTTGTTAGCTTTTCACGGCTATATGTCTTGTTTGTCCAATGCAGTCATAAATTCCACAGGATCGAGTCTTAAACCTCTTAGTACTTCTAAAAGTAGATCTCAACCAGTGGTATATCAGAATCCCTGAATAAGTGTGACACCAAATTTTAAATAATTTGTAGAATTTATTTTCATTCAACTCATTTATAAAGAGACACACTTTTATAAAGCTTTCTGTCAGACACACCACTGAGCCACAATGTGACTCATGACACAGTTGCTGCAAACAAGAAGCAGATTGCATGTTCAGAGGAATAGATATAAACTTTACCTCAAAGTGTATTATAAGAGAACACGGTCAAGGCAGTAATAGTTTTACTCAAATAGGAACATACCAGATGGTGAACAAGCAAATAGACAAGTTTTTCAACTTTCTAAAACTTGTTTTTTAAAAAAAAAAAAGACATTCACCTTTTAATCCTTTAATGTACTATCAAAAATTCTAACATCACAAAAAAGTATGTCTTAGACACAAAAGGTGAGAATCATGGTCCTAGCATAATAGAAACTTGATAGAAACTTTGATAGAAACTGCTTACACAAGTTCTCAAAAGTACAGTTCTCCCTTTGGCAAGTCACAGTTTCAGTGGTATCTGTAAATTTCCAGAAGCCAGGACGCACTACCTTTAAGCTCCAAAGGCCCTTCCTAAAAATGTATCACACAGCACATCTTCAGGAATTCAACCAAGGCTTCCAGATTCTTATGCTAGAGAGGCTCCAGGGAAGGAATCTGAGCAGATAAAGTATCTTAATGTGGCACCCACATGTCAAAGCTGTCCAAAGCAGCTTTAGAAGCACTAGGCATGACCCTGATTCCTTACATGAGCTTAGGATTTATGGTCATGTTCACAGTCACATTCATTTCCTCCTGCTGTTGGTGAAGTTCTGTATTTGATCAGTGTGCATGTTCTGCAAGATGTTAAGAGATATTAAGCAGTGAAAAAAAGAATTTTATGATCAAAACATTTTGGACAATGCTGGATGAAACATAATTAAAGGGATTTCTCTATCACAAGATACGTATCTCAGTGCCTTTCATTTACCAATAGAAATTGTGATTCCCCAGGAGAGGGGATGTGGAGCACAGCATTTTCCACACTCATTTGATCACAGAATCAGTTTTTCAAGAATCTCACAATATAAGCCTAATCTAGCACTTTCTGAGAATCAACAACAGCGAGAAAGATGGCACTATTTTTTTAGAACACGCCATCCTCTAAGTGAGACATGAATTGGGCACTAAAAGACTCAGAAGTGGACTTTGTTCTCAAACCTTCAAAATGACTTTTCCTTGGGCTCCCCATATGAAATGTGAGGAATACACTACTTTGCTTCTCAGGATTATTACATAGTTTTTAATCTTGTAACTGTGTTCCATATTAATCACCAAAGCACATTCTCAGCCCTAGTGGCCAACTTTCAAAATCCCTGGTGCCCTTCTAGCCTGGATGAAGGGATGGAGAGAACAGGAACCAGACGCCACCCAGAAAGTTTTTGAATCTCCAGTTCCTAGGCTATTATGATAGTCAATCTGCAGCCAAGATAAGTGATGAATGAGAGGTTCTCCTTTAGTAACTCACTCCTAGAGGAAGGCCTCTTCAGCACATACACCACCCATATCTGAATCTTGACTCACCTTTTCAATATGGACTTTCTAAAGGAAAATTCAAAGAAACATGGGAGCTACAGGGAAGAAAGTAAAAGAAGTCCTAGAAGAACCCATTACAGAGCTAGTCAGCAGGGGAAACATCATTCCTTTCAGTAAAACAGCTTTTCAGGAACAGTATCTCAACATATTTATTATAAAACAATTTCATTTCCCTGTCCCATCACCTGCCACCCCATTCCCATCCCCCCCAAAAAAGCCCACAGATTGTGG